GTATTTTTCAACCTCCTTTACATATTTCAATAATCATTCAAAAATTTAAATTTCAAAATAGGTTTGACAGTTCATTGCCACATCAGCCGTTTCGATGCGACTACCTGTATTCTTCTGCCATGACACATACACACATTCCGCCTGATGGCGCCTTAACTAATGTACTGTATTAACACTGTTTTGTACAGTATATAGCTTTCAGTATTATAATAAGTTCACACAGTGGTATTTTGATCAAGATATAGAGGGTGAGATAAAAAAACTGCAACCAACTTCAGAATGCTGTCATTTCTAAGCCACTCGTCCGATAGCTGTTAAAATTATTCCAGTGACAGCTCATTATATTGTTTACAAGCGAACAAAAGCATTTTGGTGAGAATTTTCAAGAAATGGAATTCAAGCGTGATAGTGTGATTTCTTTGTATTTAGCTGGAAAACCACAAGTGGCTAACGTTAGAGCACTCCAGCATTTAAATGTGAATAAATCGCGTGTGTCTCGTACCACCGCTCGTTACCGTGATACTGGCGTAGCGTATCCCAACGTCAAGGAAGTGGACGGAAGAAAACAGCAACATCAGCAGAAATGGTTCGAAAAGTAAAGAAGCGACTTGATCGAAACCCTCATCGAAGTGGCCGAAAAATGGATCGTGAGCTGAACACATCGCAATATTCCATTCGGCAAATATTGAAAAATGAGCTCGGGGTAAAGACATTGAAATTCCAAAAGGTGCAAGAACTTACACCGCAACAGAAAGAAAATAGACTCAAAAGAGCTAAAGAGTTAGTTCGCTTGACCGAAAGTGGTGAACTGCTGAAAGGTCAGCTGAAAATGTGCACCTTCAGTTGGCAATCAGAACTCAAGCGCCGGTCATGGTGATGGTGTGGGCCGCCATAACAGCCGATTTTCACTCTCCGCTCGTACTAATCGACCGCTGCATCCGAATAAATGCCGAATATTATCGTGAAAATATTCTGCAGGGTGTATTAAAACCTTGGGCTCGCAAACAATTTGGCCGCAGACCTTGGGCATTACAACAGGACTCAGCAGCATCGCACTCAGCAAGCGCCACCCAAGAATGTTTACAAAATGAGGTTCCTCGCTTCATTTCCAGCGCACAACGGCCACCAAAATCTCCGGATACCAATCCGTTGGACTATTGTTTCTGGAGTATTTTAGAAAGCAAGGTTGGTACTAAAAAATACCAAAGTGTCGATCACCTCAAGCAAGCGCTTCGCCGGGAATGGTCCAAAATACTGCAGAGCAACATTCGGGCAGCGTGTGACGATTTCATTGGCCGTTTGAAGGCCATAATTCGTGCCAAAGGTGACCAATTCGAACATATCTAAACTTTATCTAAAATTTGAAGCTATTTCCGACATTTTTGATTTCATTTAATAAAATGTAAAAAAAAAATTAAAAATTATGGCGTTTGACTTTGTTGCATATTTTCAGCTCACTCTGTATAATTGACTATTCACATACTTATATATATTTACCTTGCGTATACACCTTTGGGCGAGAGCACTAACAATAAAAAGGCTTGTCAACATTATAAACATGTAAAGTATACGAACTGCAAAAGAGAAATGTACATATCATAGGCGTAATTATATATTCAATAACATTTCCTCCATAATACTTACAAAGGACATATTCATCCTGCTTTTGATTTAAATGTTTAATATATGCCGAATTGAAAATATTCAAGACCGCTTCACCGTTATAGAAAAACACCATCAACATAGGCCAGGCAAAATATTCTCCCAGACGATTTACAAAGAAGAGTATACGATTTAAAATCAGCTGATTTTTTAACAGCCGATTAATCATCTCAAAGTTTGATGGTTGATGTTCGATTTTTTCAATTATCATCACTAAGTTGCGCCATAGAGTCTCCAGAAATTCATAGACAACTTGTAGATAAACCGTATATTCAATGCATTTCATTTGCATGGCAGCCATAAAGAACAGAATTCCAATTCGGAATGGAATATCCATTGTGTCCTGTGTCAAAAATTGTCCCAGATATAATAGCAGGCCAACCAATGTCATAAAACTTAGACCAGAAATTTTCAGCAATTTCCATTTAAGAGAGGATTTTGTAAATAAATCCTGACACTGCTCGTCCAATTCATGTTCCAAATCGGCCAATAGCTCCAACAGATCCCGTAGAGTGTTGCCATTAAAGAATGTTTTAATTTCTATGAAAATTTGCACGCCCACCAAGAGAAAATTTTGGGCGTAACTTAAAATTTTGGTAATAACATCTAAATCGTATTGCACCGAATTGTTTAGAATAAATTGATGATGTACGTGTGACGTATAGAGGGCCAAAATAGCAAGCAGTATGCAATATATTAAATAGATGCCGAACATCAACGAATATAACCAGAATTTATGATTATTTTTATTAATTAAAACGGGTGGCAACGTCTGACCGAATAAAGAAAATATCCATAAATATATTTTTATTGATTTTATATAAACCGAATTTGTATAGCTCCGTGTGCCGCTCATTGTTGCAAGCAGTTTTGCTGCTGAAAAATTACTGGTATAGATTACCATACCCTTGTTATAACTTCAATGTGGCAACATGATATTGGCTGGAGATAGGCAACTAATAAATCGATGGCCATTAATTTTTGACAGGAGTATTTGATTGTTATCTAGGAAAAGGCACAAAGGTAAGTTGCTGAGTTAGTGATGTAAGCCCCGTTCCATGGTAAAATTAAAAAGGTAAAGTCATTTCAAATAAGCATACCCTTCTCTGTATTTTCTGAAATTTACCTTGTCAAATTTCACTGCATAGAAAACTAATTCCCATCTCTGATTTCTGTAAGTACAATGGATTAAAAAATATATTTTTTAACAATAAGAGTTGTGTTCCATAACCTACAAATTAGTACTAATTCTGCTACAACGCGTTCTCGTACTTCAAAAACTAGCAAAACTTGCAGCTCTCTCGAGAAAAAAATGGTGCTGAGTGGAGTGGCCGAACAGAAATGTGCATATTGGAAATTTGACATTTAATTGGCAGGGCTAACAAGGTTGAAAAATGTATTGATACATTTCAAAGTTCGCGCGTGTCAACAAATGTAAAGAAAAAAGATAAACTTAAAAACTAAAGGAAAAACTAACATTTGTCGTGTAAAAAGCAAAAAGAGAAAATATGGAGCAACTGATGTATTTACTTTTGGATGAAGAGGACTGGCTGAATGAGGAATCAGATTATTAATTATTATTATAGATTATTAATTTTAACTTATCGTCTTCAATACTCATTTTTTTAAATGTTGGCTTCCTTATGCTTATTTGAAATGGCTTTATCTTAATAATTTATTATACTTGAATCATTTCGATCCATTGTTCTATATCTACAATCAAACGCCTGAACATTTCTCTATTTAATGTTAGGAGCATGGTAGAACTAAGAAGGTAAAGTCATGTAATCATATGTTTACAATTTTTTCAAATTTATGCATTTGACAAAATCGCATTGTAAAAATCTATAATCATAAATTAAGTGTATACACACAAAACCAGAGATAGGAACTGTGCTTTATGCATCAAAATTTGGAACAGAAAATGTAGAGCTGGGAATGCTAATTTGATATGAGGTTACCTTTATTTTATTGTACCATGTTTGGGGGGGATTTCTTCCACATCGGTAAAATCCAATTGTATGTTGGTATACTTTTCAAACCGGTACTCGTTAAGTTTCAAATTTAGTTAACGAATTTTGGTTAAAGGTGAGAATACATAAAAATTTGTTGACTTGCTTCTTCGTGGAAGAACAAAGTAGTTTTAGGTTGACGTAGTTCGATTTTTACCCTAACCTCCTTTGTTCTTTTCCGATGAAGCCGGCCAATGACTTAAGGGCTAAGTACATAAGAAGCTTGAAGTCATGGCTAGGCATATTCATGGCTAGGCATTAAACTTCTGTTTCGCTCAGTGTATTAGTCATATGACTTTCTGTTAAATACTCATGGTAGAAGAATACAGGTGGATGCATCAACGCTTGAGAACTTTTATATGTCAAAATTTATTTTTTTTTTTTTTCAAAAATAAGTAGATTTTTATAAGTTTTCTTATACGACAACAATTGGTTGTTATGATAAGTATTTTTCAACAATTTTTACAAATTTGAATAAATTTTCATTCCCAATTTTCAATTTCCAAATTGGTTTGACAGTTTATTGTCCCTGTTTCGATGCAACTACCTATATTCTTCTAACATGTTCAATGTCCTTATAATTTTATTAACAGCCTGTTCCGCAATATCGAAGGAAAATTTGTGCGAACGAAAGCTAATCACTCACTTTCGTATCAGAATTCGTTCTTTCATGGTAGAAGAATATAGGTAGGTGCGTCAACGCTTGGGAACATTGAAATGTCAAATTTATTAACGTGCTTTGTAAAAAAAAAAGTAGATTTTTATATGTTTTCTTATACGATGCAAATCGGAGGTTGTAATGATATGTATTTTTTAACAATTTTTACAAATTTCAATAATTTTTCATCCAAGATTTTCAAATCCAAAATCGGTTTGATAGTTCATTGTCCCAGCAGCTGTGTCGATGCGACTACCTGTATTCTTCTACCATGCGTTCTTTCTTTCGCACATGACTCAGTGTTGCTAAATAAATCTTTAAAAAATTAATCACGAAATTAAACAAAAAAAAAAAAAGCGCCAAATGACAGATTTAGATGCGAAAAGGCAGTAAAAAATACAACAAAAGTGCGAAAGAAAAAAGATAATGGAACGCTAAATTACACTGAAATGCTTACTTTTTCTGATAAATGTTAGTGGGACGGAAATCAGCTGTTTGTCGTGTAAAAGGTGTGCGAACGTGTTCTTTTGATATCGTGGAATTGGCTGTAATTTTTTCCTATTTCAAAAAGATTCCTTTTTTGTTGTATTGTTTACATTTCAAACATATGTATGTTCTGACATGGTGTTTCTCTACAGTTTTCTTTTTCGAATCGACATCACAGCCCCTTTAACTTGATTATTTATTTAAAAACATCTTTAAAATTTAAGTTTAAACATGACAAATTGATTTGAATCCTTAATGTATATTATTGTGTCCAGCTTTTTTCCAACACGGTAAATGCTAACATTTGTTTTTTGAGGTTAAAAGCCTAGGCCATTCTAGGATGGGTAAACGGTCCCGGCTTACATTTTGTTTTACAATCGAGCAGACTTTTGAAACGATTGGAATTACCTTCGCAACCACCGTAATTGAAAAATTTACAAGATCCAGTTTTTTTGTCATACGACCATGACGGTATTGTTTTCTTGCACGGTCCTACAACAGCGGTGGGAAGGACACATGCAACTAATTAATAACGAGAGAAGTTATTAGTAAATAATAATAAATAAATAAAATACAGAGTGAGATAAGAAAACTGCAACAAAGTCAAACGCCATAATTTTGTTTTTCAAATTTTATTGAATAAAAGCAAAAGATGTCGGAAATAGCATCAAATTTTAGAATAAGTTTAGATTTGTTCGAGTTTAGATTTGTTCTCTGGAAATGAAGCGAGGAACCTCATTTTGTAACCATTCTTGGGTGGCTGATTCCTGTTGGAAAGTCCAAGGTCTGCGGCTAAAATGTTTGCGAGCCCAGAATATTTTCGAAATAATATTCGGCATTTATTCTGATGCCATGGTCGATTAATACAAGCGGAGATCGACCATCGGCTGTTATAGCGGCCCACACCATCACCATGGCCGGCGCTTGAGTATTTTTTAGTGCCAACCTTGCTTTCCAAAATACTCCAGACACAATAGTCCAACGGATTGGGGATTTGGGTGGCCATTGTGCATTGGAAATGAAGCGAGGAACCTCATTTTGTAACCATTCTTGGATGGATGGGTCCTGTTGGAATATTCAAGGTCTGCGGTCAAAATGTTTGCGTGCCCCAAATATTTTCGCGATAATATTCTGCATTTATTCTGATGCCACGGTTAATTTATACGAGCGGAGAGCGACCATGGCCCGCACTTGAGTTCTGGTGGCCAACCGAAGGTACACATTTTCAGCTGACCTCTTTGGCAAGTAAACACGATCATTTTGTTCGTTCAAAAACTGCTGGACAACGAATGTTTTCTCATCGGAGAAAATCAAATTCGGCAGTTCACCACTTTCGGCAAAGCGAAGCCACTCTTTAGCTCTTTTTTGAGTCTATTTTCCTTCTGTTGCAGTGTAAGTTCTTGCACTTTTTGGAATTTCAATGGCTTTACCCCGAGCTCATTTTTCAATGTTTGCCGAATGGAATATTGCGATATGTTCAGCTCACGAGTCATATTTCGGCCACTGCGACGCGGGTTTCGTTCGAGGCGCTTCTTTACTATTCGAACCATTTCTGCTGATGTTTCTGTTTTCATCCGTCCACTTCCTTGACGTCGGGCGGCTACGCTACCAGTATCACGGTAACGAGCGATGGTACAAAACACAAAAGATTTATTCACATTTCAATGCTGGAGAGGCTCTAACGATAGCCACTTTTCAGCCAAATATAAAGAAATCACACTATCACGCTTGAATTCCATCACGAATAATTTTTTTTTCTGGAATATTCTCACCAAAATGCTTTTGTACGCTTGTAAACAATATAATGAGCTGTCACTGGAATAATTTTAACAGCTGTCAGATGAGTGGCTTAGAAATGACAGCAGTCTGAAGTTGGTTGCAGTTTCTTTTTATCTCACCTTGAATATCTAAAAAAAACTTACTCTCGAATGTAAAGTTCCCTGGAACGGCCATAAAAATGAATAATGTCAGTAAAATGAAGTGTTTCATTTTGAAAGTGTTAATCACCAGCTGAGCTAATGCTATAAAACTGATTTGAATCGGGTAAATGTGCATGTTTCTTATATATATTCAGAGTGGATTTGAAATTGTTAATAAATAGTGCTAGTGTAAACGTTCTATAATTATACCTGTCATTATTAATTGAAAATTTCCAATATGTGTAATTTTCTAAATTGGAATTGTGGTTGTGATTTATGCGGTCTGTGGTTTAATTTGGTTTATTTTAAGAACATTTTTTAACTAAAGTAATTTAATGTTTCACAAAACCCAGAAGGTTAGCTCATTTACCCAATCGGTTTAACCAAAATGAAAACATCCATTGTACTAACATTTTTTATTGTCGCGATAGTTTCCATGGCACTGGGTTTGAATAGTATGAAATAAAGTGAATATTTCTATACTTTTTTTAGTATTTTAAAATCCCACTTTCTCATTGAGGAAGATGCGCCCATCCTGCTGCCGCTGTCGGACGATGCACACAAAGAGTAATAAAATGGGCCTATGATGACAATACCGGATCTTGTTGGCATTTCTATTACAGTGGCTGTGAAGGTAATCCTAATCGTTTTGCAACGAAAAGAGAATGTGAACGTGTTTGTAAGCCGGGACTTTTTACGGAACGATCCAAAAAGTCTTAAATAAATTAAATTGTATAAGAATTTATTTGGAAATAGTTAACATACGTAAGTGATAAGTGATTAATTGTTTAAAAAAACTTTATTAAAGGTGAGGGTACATAAACGGTTTTTTTTTGACTGGCTTTAAGGTAAGAATACATAAAACGCCTTTTTGACTGGCTTAAGTCATCGGAAAAGAACAAAGGAGCCTGGGACCAAATTCGAACTAAGTTAACCTAAAACTACTTTGCTCAAAGACATACACTGCCTTTACACGGTGGCATTTTTAACCATGCCATTTTTTTGTTGGTAAAAGGTGTAGGAAAATAAGAATAGAAGAAAAAATGGCACGATAAGCCACCGCACAGGGTGGAATTTTTTAAGATTTTGACATTTCATATCGTTTCTTTATTGTAATTTTTGATGCGTTTCTTTTATTGTGATGTAATGTGTTTAATGATTGAATTGTATAGTGAATTAAATGAAAATTAATTGGAAGTTGTAAAAAGTAAAAAAAGAAAGTTAAAATAAAAGTTAAACATTTTAATAAATAGGCATATTGGCCACTGTTTCACAACAATCTAATAGCCACAAAACAATGCCGACATCAAGCTTATTACTGAAATCTTAGCTTTCCACTGCAATATTTAATACCTCAATAACTTTTTCCATCATTTCTTCTTTAGATTCACACATTTAATTTTAAATCACTTCTTTATAAATATCTGTTACAAACAATTAGCACAACAATACAGCTCTATACGAAATACTGAATAAAATAAAATGTCAGAAAAAATGCCAAGCACTAATATCGTAAAATGCCACCGTGTAAAGGCGCGAAGATTTACACAGAAATTTTAAAAGAGAATTGATAAAAAATAAACCGCTTAGGCAATATGCAATTAATTTGAAAAGTCTATGGAAAAAAACCAAATTTTTGGATTTTTCAAAACTGTCCTGTCATGAACTGTTATCTAGATAGTATAGACACAAACCATTTACTCGGAATTAATTTTGTCTTTTCTTTACCATTTTAGGTCTTTGCCCCTCTACAAAAAAAGCCAGTTGATGTCTTAGGCCAGTCAAAAAATGCGTTTTATGTATTCTCACCTTTAAACCAGTCAAAAAATGGCTCAATAATAGGGCGTTAAACCAATCAGACGCAATGTCGTAGTTAGGTTACTATTTGTTTATCATTCGTATAGTGATTCCAATCACAATAAGTGTTTTGACAACTTATCTAGATCTAAAGATTGTGCATGGTCCGAACATTTGCGTGTTAAGTTTGACACATGGTAAGAGAATGCAGGTAGTCGCATCGACAAAACTGCTGGGACAATGAACTGTCAAACCAATTTTGAAACTATAAAAGGTATAATTTTAATAAATTTTTATTTTTGTAAAAATTATTCAAATTCCTTAAAATTGTTGAAAATGCATATATATAAGGAAGGATATAAGGAAGCATATAAAAATCTACATATTTTGGAAAAAGAGAAATCATTTTAAAATGTTGACATATTAATATTCTCAAGCGGTGATGCATCTACTTGTATTCTTTTACCATGGTTTGACATACACCCATGGTGTAAAAATACAGGTAGACGCATCCACGCTTGGGGACATTGCTTGTCAAAAATTTTTTAATGTTTTCTTCAAATATACGTAGATTTTTATATGTTTTCTTATACAACGTCATTCGGAGGCTATTATAATTCGCGTTTTTCAACAATTTTTACAAATTTAAATAATTCTTCATTCAACATTTTCAATTCCAAAATTGGTTTGATAGTTCATTGTCCCAGCAGCTGTGTCGATGCGTCCTGTATTCTTTTACCATGGTTTGACATATACCCAACATTTACACACATACATATTCCGTCTGATGGCGCCTTAGGTAATGTACTGCAGTAACACTGTTTTGTACAGTACATAGCTTTCTGTGTTATAATAAGTTCACACAGTGGTATTTTGATAAAGATATATTAAGATCAAGCTTTGTTTACATCAAACTGTTTATACCCTCCACCTTGAAATGGAGGGTATAGTTATTTTGTCATTCCCAGAAAGTATATATATTCATGATCAGCATAAAATTTTACGTCGATTTAACGATGTCCGTCCGTCTATCTGTTGGAATTATAATGCAGCCCACATTATTTGACGTAGAGCTTCAAAAGCTGGCAGAACAATTTGTATTGCATCTAGGATGGTTGGTATTGAAAGTGAGATATATCGGTCCACGTTCTGGTATAGCCGCCATATAACATTACCTCACGATATTCGGTATTTTTCCACGGATTTGTCTAAAAATTGGTATTTGTTGGTCATAATGGGTTCTAGCTCCTGTGGCAAAACATTGTATGTGTAGGTCCACGTTTTTGTATAGCCCCCATATAACGGTACCTTCCGATACTCGGTATTTTGATGATTTTTGCCACATTTTTCAATGGATTTGTCTAAAAGTTGGTATTTGTAGTTCGTAATGGGTACTAGCGCCGGTGGTGGAACATAGTATATATAGGTCCACGTTGTGGTATAGCCCCCTCATAATGGTACCTTCGGATATTCCGTTTTTTTAAGATTTTTGCCACATTTTTCCATTGATTTGTCAAAAATTTATATTTGTAGGTCATAATGTGTTCTAGCTCCGGTGGCGAAACATTGTACGTTTTTGTAGAGCCCCCACATAATGGTACATGCGGATATTCAATATTTTCATAATTTTCCCACATTTTTCCAATGATTTGACTAAAAATTGGTATTTATGGACCAACCATAGTTCCCTACACTTATGTGAACATTGGATAGGTCGTATGTTACTCGTATTTCCATGGTACAATTACCAAGGTAATCTCATGCTATCATACGATTGCAATTTTTCTCTTTTATGTCCCTTCATTGTCAAATTTATATTTTGTAGTTCTTCCTTAAATATAGGCGTACGTACATTATATAGGCGTGCGTACATTTTTTAGCTGGTAGTTCTGCGGATTTGATCCTGAAAACGTTTCCTGAAGATAAAGGTTTGAAATATTTATCTTTATATGTTTAAGTTCAAGAACAGATAAACCAATTTGATATTCCTTAGATATGGAATGTAAAACTGTTTTTACGTGCCAACGATCGCCGAAAATAACAGAACATTTATTATTTTTGTAAAATCTGCCACTCGTCATACGAAAATATTTTAGATATTATTTGAAAAATGACAAGGTCGAGTTCGTCAGAAAAGGGTTGCCATATTCAATTTAGCAAATGAGTTTACCTTTATTGTTTTGCCATGAAACTTACTTTTCAATATTTCTAAATGAGCTATAATTTGAACTTTATGACTCATTTTTACAGGTCTCTCCTTTAATCGTATTTCATTGAGTACAAAAAGTGGGTTATGTATTTCCTTTATTTTTGATTTATTTTTATTGCACTCTTTTATCCTTAACAATTTATAACATTATACTTAAAAATAATTAATAATTATTGTTTTTTACAAATTAAAATTAGACTACAATTACATTAAATGAGTTTGAAGAAATGTCATTGATGACATGTATGGTGTGAACATAGCCTTAGAAAATGCATCAACGCTTGGAACATGGCAAAAGAATACAGTTAGTCTCATCATCACAGCTGCTGGGACAATGAACTGTCAAACCAATTTTGAAATTGAAAATGTTGAATGAAAAATTATTTGAGTTTGTAAAAATTGTTGAAAACGCGAATTATAATAACCTCCAAATTACGTCGTATAAGAAAACATATAAAAATCTAATTATATTTGAGAAAACATTTAAAATTTTTTGACATATCAATGTTTCCAAGCGTAGATGCATCTACCTGTATTTTTCTACCATGGTTTGAAATATATATCTTTTTGTGTTTAAGTTCAAGAACAGATAAATAAATTTGGTATTTCTGTAATATGGAATGTAAAACGTGGCAAGTATCGCTGAAAATAAAAGAACATTTATTATTTTTGTAAAATCTGCCACTCGTCATACGGAAATATTTTAGATATGAAATAGGTTTTATTTGAATAGTGACAAAGTCCAGTTCGTCAGAAAAGGTTTGCCATATTAAATTTATTGTTTTGCCATGAAACATACTTTTCAATATTTCTAAATGAGCTATAATTTAAACATTATGACTTATTTTATACAAGTCGCTCCATTACTCGTATCTCATTGAGTAAAAAAATAGGTTAGGTTTTTTCTTTAATTTGAATTTATTTTTATTGCACTCTTTTCTCCTTAAAAATTTATAACATTGTACTTAAAACTAATTAATAATTATTATTGTTTTCTACAAATTAAAATTAGGCTATAATTACATTAAATGAGTTTGAAGAAATGTCATTGATGACATGTATGGTGTGAACATAGCCTTAGAAAATGCATCAACGCTTGGGAACATGGCAGAAGAATACAGTTAGTCCATGACATTGACACAGCTGCTGAGACAATGAACTGTCAAACCAATTTTGGAATTGAAAATGTTAAATGTAAAATTATTTAAATTTGTAAAAATTGTTGAAAAATGCATATCATATCAACATCCGATTTGCGTTGCATAAGAAAACATTTAAAAATATACTTATATTTGAGAAAACATTCAAAATTTTTGACATATCAATGCTCCCCAGCATTTACCTGTTGATGCATCTACCTGTATTCTTGTACCATGAGTTAGTCTCATCATCACAGCTGCTGGGACAATGAACTGTCAAACCAATTTTGGAATTAAAAATGTTGAATGAAAATTATTTGAAATTTGTAAAAATTTTTGAAAATTGCATATCATATCAACATCCGATTTGTATCGTATAAGAAATCGTATAAAAATCTACTTATTTTCGACAAAAAAAAAAAACATATTAAAAAATTTGACATATCAATGTTCCCAAGCGTTGATGCAGTTATGTATTCCTGTATTCTTCTACCATGTTCCCAAGCATGATTGATATGTTAACAATTTTTAAATGTTTTTTTTTTTTTTTTCTAAAATAAGTAGATTTTTATATGTTTTCTTATACCATTTCAAGCAGAGGTTGTTATAATATGCATTTTTTCAGACACTTTTATAAATTTCAATAATTTTTCATTTAAAATTTTGAATTCCCAAATATATGGTAGAAGAATACAGGTAGATGCATCAACTCTTGGGAACATTGATATGTCAAAAATTTTAATTTTTTTTAACAAAAATAAGTAGATTTTTTCCTTTACGACGTCATTCTGAGGTTATTTTAATTCGCGTTTTCAATAATTTTTACAAATTTAAATAATTTTTCATTCAACATTTTAAATTCCAAAATTGGTTTGACAGTTCATCGTCCATTCGTCTACCTATATTCTTCTACCATGGGCTATGGTCACGTTTACACTCCCCTCTTTTACATGATAATGTGAACTAAACAAATGATCTACATGACGTGTCTATAATTGATTTTTCCTTTTACGCCCCGGTCTTACGGTCAACACAGATTGTGGCATAACACCATCAAGATCGATTTTTCCCGCCTTACTGGCGGCCAAAATCCGTCGTTCGTGCACCTTGCGATGTTTTGTCAAATGATCGGAGCGGGCAAAACATTTGCCACAAAAATCACATTTATACGGTTTAATGCCGGAATGGGAACGTCGATGTCGGGCCAATTCATCGGAGCGGGAAAAACGCCATGTACAATCGGACCAATTACAAACGTACGGTTTCTCACCTAAATGACGACGCAAGTGAGCTTTCAAATGGGCAGGTTTGGCGTAAATTTTTCCACAATCACCAAAATTACAGGTGTAGATTTTATCATTCTCTTTGCTATGATCCGGGGAGGGAGAGTTTGCATCGTCATCATTTTTGGCATTGGCTGTTTCTGGCGTGGAGTTGTTGGAGGAGTAGTAGGAGGCAGGCGAACTTGGTGGTGTTGCAAATAATTTTAAATTTTCGGCACATTCTTGTAGAAAATGATTGCAGTTATCCGTACACAGGGGTGTCTTTTCGGGTAGAAAATCGATGAGTTCAGGAATTTCAATGAAATTATCAAGGAATTTTTCCTCCCAATCACTCAGTTCTTTGGCTTGCAAGGCCAGGCTTGTGTTTTGTAGGGATTCCAGTTCTGTATTACCTTCCATTAGATCATAGCTGGCATTCAACAGATAATCCAAACTGGCTTGTAATTGGTTTTCACTATCCTCACTGAAGTGGTTTGAGCTTGGAGTGCTTGTTTCGGGTTCCATTACAAATAAATGATAATCCTGGTCACAGCATAAATAATTTTCTTCAGGATACTCTACCCCATTATTGGGATCGTTGTAATCGTAACCGGAACTGGAAATCTCCGATGAATCAATCCATATCGCTGAGCCGGAATAATGTTCATTTAAATCATCAAATAATTGTTGAAATCCGCCATCAGCAAAAAAGTCCATCATTGTTTAAAATTGATCTGTGCACCGCCTCAAATACCAGTAACAAATGTGGAGTATCTCAGGAACTCTTCTTGTATTTATTTGGGTTTTTAATTTATTTTTTTTGGGAAATATGCACTTTCCGAATTTATCTATTTTCTCGGAAACCGGACTTCATATCGCCTCTAAAAAATATGAAATACAAGTCAAGTGTAACACTTTCTGTTGAAACTGTTGAAATTGAACTGTGTGGAAATTTGATCAATGGCATGCTTATTATAAATATTTATAAAATATTTTACAAATTAATAATCAATCTATCTCCGAAAAAAAAAACACCAAAACATACCATCAACAGTTCGTCAACACATCTGGGAAACCAAAAAAAATGAAGAGTAGGGCACGTCAGTGTGAGCGATATCATTCATTATTCTCAGTTTGTGACACATTTGCACAGTGTGTTGGGTGCCTAAATTATTGAGATTTTCTTTTGTAAAATTAAGAAGGTGAAGTCACTTCAAACAGGAATCTCCATCTCTGAATCTTCTGTCAAATTTTACTGCCTAGAAAATAGATTGCCAGGTGCTAACACACAGGTACCTGAATTATGATATACAAACGTCACAGGTTTGATGAGCCTTAAAGTAAGTTTACATATAACAAATCTAGTGGATTTCAATAGCGAATTTCATTGCGAAAACGTCAAATGAAATTCAGTTGAAACCTACTTCGTATATCTAAACGTGGGTTAAAGCCATTTCACATTGAAGTCCTTTACCATGACAATAGATCAGTTATGACCTGGTTTTTTAAGAAAAAGTTTTAAAAACTTAAACGCAAATTGTTAAAATCGATGTTGTTCTGTCAAGATTTGTCAAACCAAGAAGAGTATAATTTGAAAAATATTTATAAAGGAATTGGATTTTTAGCTCTCATTTATCTAGATTTAACCTAAATTAAGAAGATAAAATAAAATTAAAAAAAAAACATCTCTGGATTTCCGGTATTTTAACTCTGTCTTTACGCGCCACGAAACGCTGAAGTATTTCTGCGATCTATAAAAATGTGTAAGTTTCATAGACTTATTTCCGATTTAGAAATTATTTATTGTGACAACGAAAGAAACAAAATTTGTGCGGAAAAAGCGTCAAAACGACAGATTTAAATGGGAAAAAGTAGTAAACAGACATACGCATGGCAGAAGAATACAGGTAGATGCAACCACGCTTGGCAGCATTGATATGTCAATAAAATTCAAAAGTTTTTTCAAATATAAGTAGATTTTTATATGTTTTCTTATACTACGTCATTCGAAGTCTATCACAATTCGCGTTTTTCAACGATTTTTACAAATTTAAATAATTTTTCATTCAAAATTTTCAATTCCAAAATTGGTTTGACAGTTCATTGTGCCAACAGCTGTGTCGACGCGTCTACCTATATTCTTCTACCATGGGCATACGTTAGCTGGCTTTGTCTGAACTGACAGTTTAGTTGTAAATAAACAAATTGTAAATAAACAAATAAAATAACATTCCGATATCAGTAACTGTGTTCAATTTATTTGTGTTTTAAAAAATAATTAAACAAATGAATATTTCTGTTGCCTTATATATTGTGGATGATGTGGGGAAGCTTCAAAGAGACATTTAACAGACGTTTCGAATTTGTTTGAAGTACCTAACAAACAGTATGATTTTGTTTTACATTTTTAAAATAATGAAAAATGAATTTTTCTAGGTTTGTGGAATTTTGATATTATTAAATTTATTATTTTTAATCACCTTTTTGTTCCCATTTTCAATCATAGCAATATTTATGTTGAAACAATTCTCCTAAATTATAATCAGACGACATCAAACACACAAGTGACTGATTTTGACATTCATTCATTAGCTTTGATGTTCGCAAAATTTTTCGTTCTGATTGATTTTAATGGGACGAAAATTATCTATTTGCCCCCATCGTAATTGTCACCTGAATCTCTGTCTTCCACTTCTCTGTTGCATACTTTCTATTATAATGTTTATTTGTTGTTGCTCCTATCAACATCTGATCATCTTCTTCGCGCTTTATGAAAATGTTTCTAGAAATATCGTTTTACAGTACACTCTCCCGTTTTTTGGCATAAATATATTGAAAACCAATAGTTTTTACAAAAATATTTTTGGGTTTTTCTTTTCCTTTATTCAGATTTCATAAATTGCTCTTTTTGGTTTATTCCATGGTAGAAGAATATAGGTAGACGCGTCGACACAGCTGCTGGGACAATGAACTGTCAAACCAATTTTAGAATTGAAAATGTTGAATGAAAAATTATTTAAATTTGTAAAAAATTTTTGAAAAACGCGAATTATAATAGCCTCCGAATGACGTAGTATAAGAAAATATGTAAAAATCTTATTATATTTGAAAAAACATTTACATTTTTTTGACATATCAATGCTCTCAAGCGTTGATGCATCTACGGAAGAATTCAGTTCTGCCATGGATCATGCGTCCAAGGTATGATGAGCCTTAATGCATGTTTACATATAACAAATCTAGTGGTTTTGAACAACGAATTTCTTTGCGAAAACGTCAAATGAAATTCTGTTGAAACCCACTAAACTTGGTATATCTAAACATGAGTTAAAGCCATTTGAAGTCCTTTAAGGGCTAATTGCATAAACAGCTTGAAGTCTTCGCAAGTCATATTTTGTGTCATATCATAAAGGGATTCCAAAGCCGCATTCGAATTCTGACGTCGTTTCCCTTTATACTTTGACATTAATATGCCTAGCCATGATGCCAAGCTGTTTATGTACCTTCACCTTTACTGTGACAATAGAACAGTCATGGAGAAAGAAATGTCAAACCAAGAAGCATACAATTTGAATAATATTTGTAAAGAGCTTTCACAACAAGTACATGATTTTTTAGTTCTAGTTTTTATACCCTCAGAGGGCATATATCAGCTGATTTTACGTTCAGTCATATGGCTAGAGAGGGTATATATGATTCGATTCGGCCAAAACGTGACTCATAAAGGTTTTAGACGCTAGGTCTCTTTGGGCCAAATCCGTTTCAGAACATTTGGGGTCGATCTACCGATGTCCCTCCGTCGGTCTGTCTGGCTGGCTGGTGCGCACGATAACTCTCGAAGGGAGTATCGGTATTCGGTATTTTGATGATTGTAGCTACATTATAAACAGATTTTTTTCAAGTTTCGTATTTGAATATTGTAATAGTTTATGACAAAAGTTGCCTATGCAGGTCCAAGTCGTAGTATAGACCCTAATATACGGCTACATTCGTTATTTTTAAGATTTTAACAGAATTTTTAACGGATTCTATTCTTTTGAAAATTTTTTTAATTTGTACCAAATGGTGAAAGGTATTTAAAGTTAATCCTGGCCGAACTTACAGCTTTTTTACTTGTTTTTTATTATTATCAATTATCTTTACAAAAATATCGATATGCCGACTGTTGGAACATGTCATACCGACAATTGGCAAGTGGTGGCCGACTACTGGCCATGGTAGAAGAATATAGGTAGATGCATCAACGCTTGGGAACATTGATATGTCAAAAAATTTTTAATTTCTTTTTTTTCAAAAATAAATAGATTTTTATGTGTTTTCTTATACGACGCAAATCGGCGGTTGTAATGATATGTATTTTTCAACAATTTTCACAAATTTCAATAATTTTTCATTCAACATTTTCAATTCCAAAAATTGGTTTGACAGTTCATTGTCTCAGCAGATGTGTCGACGCGTCTACCTATATTCTTCTACAGTAAGCAACAAAAAGTTTATATGATTTTTGAGGACTTTAAGATCTGTAAATATCCATCTCTTGTGTTTTCTCCAAAAAAAAAAAAAAAAAAAAAAAAAAACAAGAAATGTTTTATTCTACAACTGTGACAATAATCACTTTTTATAATTTCTTCCAGCCTTTAACCACTGTGATTTATCACGAAACAAAAAAAAATACAAAACAATGACAAAAAGTAGACATATCCATCGATGATCTGTCATATCCTCTCTAGGGACCAATATTTGGTGTATTTTTCAATTGAAAAAAAAAAAAAAACGACAAGTGAACGCAGTACGAACATACGTAAATTCATACCACGTATGAACGCAGTACACACACAAGATACATACAACTCAAATGTCCAGGGTTAATTATGTCGCACTCTTTACGCGTCATTAGTTTTTGTTGTGTGCGTGTGTGTATGTGTGCACTCACGAATGATCCACGAGAGTTCTCGTTCTCGTTTTCGTTCTGGAAATGAGATTTGTTTGTTTTTGTTTAATTGTGGCTTGTTCTTCTTCTTCACTCTCTGATGCTGGAATTACCACCGTGCACATTTTGTGGCCACCATATGGCCCATCTTGTATGTGGAACGCCAGTACCAGTACCATACCGTAACAGTCGCTCATTGTATTTGAATTGCATGCATATGTGTCGCCAAAATAATGGTCGTTGTGGGATTTGCGCCGTGCAACTTTAGTGGCTCTACGTTTTTCCAGTTATTTTTGTTTTTAATGCGTCAAAGTTCGCAATGATATCTGTAGGCGATGAGAATAGGAAAATACCTTGAAACCTTATCAGAAAGCAGTGGGGGTTGCTTTGACTGAATTGGCATATGGTAAGAAAATTAAGCGGATGCAATAAAAAGTTAAAAAGCAGTAAGTTCGGCCGGGCCGAACTTTGTATGCCCTCCATTATTTGGAACGAATTTGGAAATAAAATCCTTAAAAAAATTCTGTTAAAATTTGAAAAATACCGAATATAGCCGTTATATTGGTGTCTACACGACGTGGACCCACACAGGAATTGTTTGTCATAAGGCATTACCAAATTCAAATTCGGAACTATCGGAGCTGTGCGAAGACCTTGACCAGCATAGACGATTTTCTGTCATAAGCTGTAGCATCCATTACGAACTTCAAATACGACATTTCAAACAATTTCGGTGAGTATTGTACCTAAACTCGTCAAAATATCGAATATAGGGAGGTACTGGTATATGGGGCCTATACGAAGACCTGGACCTGCATATACAATTCACACGTATCACATATCTGTCACAGACTGTAGATTCCATTACGAACTCTAAATGCGTAATTTGAAAAAAATCCGGTGAATAAATTCGCTAAAATCATCAAAATACCGAATATCGGGAGGCACCGTTA